CAGACACGCAGACAACAGACAGATGACAGACACAGAGACGACAGATAGACACTCAGAAGACAGATTGTTTTACTCCCTAATAGATCAATAAAAACGTGACTGTGGTGTGACATCTCATTATTCTGTGATTTGTGGAATCATTTCTGCATTTTTATGAATTTATATTTTGCATATCTATTTTTCATATGAAATTAATCATCTTGATGTCGGTTTGTGTGTCAGAGAAAGCCACCAGTGCTGCTCTTCAGACGGAGGACTGGAGCCTGAACCTGGAGATCTGTGACATCATCAACGAGACGGATGACGGGTGCTGCATCACTCACACTTACTGCAGATACACCAGATACGCTCACTGGCTCGTTCTCTGTCATCTGAATGCTTGTGTTGTTTTCCAGACCCAAAGATGCAGTGAAAGCTTTAAAGAAGAGTATTGTGGGTAATAAGAACTTCAGGGAGGTGATGCTGGCTCTGACCGTGAGTGTCTGTGACATCACTTCCTCTACAGAAGCGTGTGTGTTTCATAGCGTGTTGTGTTGTTAGTGTTGTTCTGTGTTCCAGGTTCTTGAGATGTGCGTGAAGAACTGTGGCCATCGTTTCCATGTGTACATCTGTTCTCTGGAGTTTGTGGAGGGCGTTCTGGTCAGAGCGATTCTGCCCAAAAACAACCCTCCCATGATCCTTCATGACAGAGTCCTGAGTCTCATCCAGGTGAAGCGCTCTCACCGCAGCTCTGATTGATGCAGTGGCTCCGGCGAGGTTTGACGTTTGTCTCTGTGTTGCAGGCGTGGGCCGATGCCTTCCGGACCAATCCGTCTCTGTCTGGAGTGGTGAACGTCTATGAGGATCTGCGGCGGAGAGGCCTGGAGTTCCCCATGACGGATCCATCGTTTCCATGTGTACATCTGTTCTCTGGAGTTTGTGGAGGGCGTTCTGGTCAGAGCGATTCTGCCCAAAAACAACCCTCCCATGATCCTTCATGACAGAGTCCTGAGTCTCATCCAGGTGAAGCGCTCTCACCGCAGCTCTGATTGATGCAGTGGCTCCGGCGAGGTTTGTCGTTTGTCTCTGTGTTGCAGGCGTGGGCCGATGCCTTCCGGAACAATCCGTCTCTGTCTGGAGTGGTGAACGTCTATGAGGATCTGCGGCAGAGAGGCCTGGAGTTCCCCATGACGGATCTGGACTCTCTCTCGCCCATCCACACGCCTAACAGGGTAAAGCTCACAGAATACACAGTGTTAGTTAGTGATGGTGATCCACTGGTTGAGCACTCACATGAGCCAGAACATAAACTCTGGTGTGGACTAAAACTCTGCTCTTTTTAGTCCTGTCTAACATCTTCCAGATCTGGAAACGTCATGGAAATGAATAAATCTCAAGATTTTCATTGTCCAGGGTATACACTATGTGGACAGAAATATTGGGACTCCTGAACATTAAACCAACAAGGACTATTCAAAATATATAGACATAAATGTAGACATTAATATGGAGCTAATCAGCTATAACAGCTTCCACTCTTCTAGGAAGGATTTCTGTAAGATTCTGGAGTGTTTCTGTGGGAGTTCTTGCCCATTCATGCAGTAGAGCATTTGCGAGGCCAGGCACTGACGTTGGACGAGAAGGCCTGGTTCACAATCTCCGTTCCAGTTCAGCTCAAAGGTGTTGGATGGGATTGAGGTCAGGGCTCTGTGTTCTTCCACACCAAACTCATCCAACCATGTCTTTATGGTATGGTCCTTACTTTGTGCACTGGGGCACACTTGTCTACTTGATATTCTGAAGCATTTAGATTTCCCTTCAATGGAAGTAAGATGCCCAACTCCTGAAAAACAGCCCCACACCATTATCCCTCCTCCAGCAAACTTTACAGTTGGCACAATGCAGTCAGGAATGTAACGTTCTCCTGGCATCTCCTGACTCTCCCATCAGACTGTCACTGCACAGAACAGGTTTCCACTGCTCCAGAGTCCAGTGTGTGTGTGCTTTACACACTCCCTCCCACGCTTGGCTCGCATGCAGCTGCTCGGCCATGGAAACCCATCCATGAAGCTCCCGCCGTTTTAGTGCTAATATTAATGTCAGTGCAAGTTTGGAGCTCTTCAGCTATGGAAACAGCAGAGCATTGGCAATTTTTACACACCCAGAGCCTCAGCACTTTTTGCAGTTTTCCGGTTCATGGCTGAGTTCCTAAATGCTTCCACTTTCAAGTTATACCGCTTACAGTTGACCGTAGAATATCTAACAGGGATGAATGAATTCAATAATTAAGAGCTGTGTACTTCTGTCCATATAGTGTATAGTTTTTAGTACATGAATTCTAGTGCTGTGCTCTAAAATGTTTCATCTGCTAGAAATTGCTCTTGTTAAGAGTAAAACTTGCTTGTTAACTATTGTGATGTGTGATTTGTGAGTAAATAGTTTTTTTGAGTCAGTTTTTAATATCTCAGTTTGTCTGTTTTCAGTGACTCCGAACTGATTCACAAACTGTTCTGAATTTGAATGATTTTTAGAAGTGATAATGTAGTAATGCATAAGAGCATTGAAAGCGTTTCACTGAAGGTAACACTCCAAAGAGAAAGGAAAACTTGAAATCGCATCATATGACCCCTTTAAGATATCACATATCTGCCATCTATCCCAACAGTGTGTATTATTTTCATTCCATCTTAGTCCAAGTCGTAATGTCACGCATGTTTTACTAGGCTATGCTGAAATTACCCCAAATCTGTTCTCATGAAAGAGTGCTGGCAGTGACTCTAGATAATCTCACTTCATGTGGAGGACGGCAATAGCTAGTAAAACTGTCGGCCATTTATAAACAGTAGACCTAAAATTATAGCACACTATTACTCATGTTCCACTCAGATGAATCTGTAAGGCATGTATTAATATGCCAGTAAGAAAAGTTACACCAAGATTTACTGTCAGAAATTAGAAATGCATCCCGTCTGACCAGAAGCAGGGTAATGAAAAGGCAAGGTCAGGGGTTAAAGGTCAGAGGTCAAGGGTGTGTGGTTTGAGGTTTGAGGTGGTCTGTGTTTGTGTGTGTGTGTGTGTTCTGACTGCTTTCCTCCAGAAGCGGAAGCTGAGATCTGAACTGGATCTGGTCAAAGGAAATCTGAACATCATGACGGAGATGCTGAATCACGTCAAACCTGGAGAAATATCAGCATCAGACGCAGAACTGCTGCAGGTGTGTGTGAGTGTGTGTGTGTGTGTGTGTGTGTGTGTGTGTGTGTGTGTGTGCGTGCGCGTGTGTGAGTGTGAGTGTGATTGTGTGTGTGAGTGTGCGTGCGCGTGTGAGCGTGTGAGTGTGAGTGTGAGTGTGTGTGTGAGTGCGTGTGAGTGTGTGTGTGTGTTAGGCTGCGTTATAGTGCTTGTGTTTTACCATGGTCATACATATGTCATTAAGTCACGTGTGTGTGTGTGTGTGTGAGAGCAGCAGCTGTATTCGGTGTGTAAGCAGATGCAGCAGAGGGTCGTGGAGTTGATTCCCAATCTATCGGAGGACGAGATGATCGGGGAACTTCTGCTGGTCAATGATGATCTCAACAATGCGTTCATCCGCTATGAGAGGTCAGTGAGGCTGCAGTGTGAGGCTCGTCCAGTGCTGCGTCCAGCTCTACACTAACACGCCTCTTCTCTGTCTCTGGTTAAAGGTTTGACAGGTTGAACATGCAGAGATCAAACGCAGAAGAACAGCAGGAGTCGCAGGTAAACCTTCATCTGTCTTACTCAGCCAATCAGAACATGTCTGATGTTATATAGTGCCGCCCACAGTTCCAGCAGCTCTGCTTCACAAAGTATTTTTTCCATTCATTTTCCCATAGGGATTTTTAAAAGGTCTTTGTTAAAGAGTTATGAGCCATGAACCAAAACAACCAGCTACAAGGAGAATCACAACATTACAAACTATATCAAAATAAATGATAATAAAATAAATAGAGTTTTCACTTGTGGCACCGACTGTTGCGCTCCATATACATGTGCAGCGTGATTTGGACCAATGAGATTTCACTGTGGGCGGAGCTACTCAGCACACACAGCGTAAATATCTTCAGGGACTCTGTGGGTCCTTAAAAAGTCTTTAAAAGTCTTACATTTGTGCTTAAAAATCTTGCTAATACTGTTTTACAAGAACATCTACAGGATGAAGATTGGTTCATAATTAAATGACTGCATATCTGTATTTCTGCACATACTGTATACACACTGATCCACATTTCTAATGATTTCATGGTGATTGTATTTCTGTGACCAGACTGGGACAGAAAACCTTATTGACCTCAGGCCTGAGTCTCCATCACCCAATCAGAACACACTCCCAGCTGTCAATCAACAGGAGCCCCGCCCTGCATCCCACCGCACAAGCAGCTCAGGTGAGAGAGATCCAGTTTTTGCGGTTTGATTAATTGTAAGAGATGATGGACCTGTGAACTCTCTCTGTGTGTGTGTGTGTGTGTGTGTGTGTGTGTGTGTGTGTGTGTGTGTGTGTGTGTCTCAGCGCTTGAAGATGAAGAGTTTGACATGTTTGCTCAGACGAGGAGCAGCTCTCTGGCCGAACAGAGGAAGAGGTTTGTGTTTGACGATCATCTGATGAGTGTGTCTTCTCCTAGAGCTCAGGTGAAGTGAGATCTGATGCTGTGTGTGTGTGTGTGTGCGTGTGTGCGCGCTGTGTGTGTGTGTGTGTGTGTGTGCGCGTGTGTGCGCGCGCGTGTGTGCGTGCGTGCGTGCGTGCGTGTGTGTAGTGTGCGGTACGAGGATCCCGGCGCTGTGGAGGGTCTGGCTGAAGCTCTGGACACGCGTCTGCAGGTCACGGCAGGGGTCAGTACACACGTGTGCCTCTCATCACACTGATCACGCGTGTACATTACTGTGATTGACATGCTGGAGTGTGTTTGTGTGTGTGAAGGGCTCTGAGAGCGACTGGGTCCGTCAGTCTCAGTGGATTTACAGCGAGGCTCTGGTGGGTTTCAGTGACGTCACTGGAGTCGCCGCTACTCCTGATTCAATGAGATACAAACTGCAGCAAATATCAGAAAAAACATGTTAAATCACAGAACAGCTTATGTAAATGTAGAACCTTCAGATTTTATCTAGAATGATGCTTTGCATTTATTTGCATCTGGTGTGAAATGAGGTTTGTGGGGTTGATTTAAAGAATCGTTCACACAAAATGAAAATGTGCTCATCCTGTCTGTCACACGACTCTGTTCCCCTTTCGGGCTCTGTCTTTACATTTATTTTGAAAGATGAAGCTCGTGATTATGGTAAGGGGCGTTACATTTCCGACGAGTGCTTGCGGTGTTCGGCCAATCACAATGCACTGACTGGGTCAGCTGGCCAATCAGAGCAGACTGCGCTTGTCGGAAGGAGGGACTTTGTAGAAAACGAAGCGTTTGAGAGAGGCGGGGCATAGAGGACCTACAATAATGTACAGTATTTGAAAAATAATGTGTTTTTTGAACATTAAAGCATGTCAACATATTCTGTTACACCAAATACACAAAATAATGATCTTTAAAAAAGCATCATATGACCCCTTTAATGCTGGATGTGTTTCAGTTTTTGTCTTCTCCAGATGTTAACTGATGGACTGGAGTGCTGTGGATTACTTGTGGATTATTGTGATGTTTTTATCAGCTGTTTGGACTCTCATTCTGACGGCACCCATTCACTGCAGAGCATCCATTGCTGAGACACTGATGCAATGCTACATTTCTACAAACCTGATGAAGAAACAAACTCATCCTGATCTCAGATGAACTGAGGCTAAACACATTTAAAGCTCATTTTAATTTTTCAGGTCTTCAGGTGACAGTTGAACACTGATGGTCAGATGTCTGTATAATCTGTATGATTTGCATGTGCTGATGGATGAATGGACACTATTTAAATTTGCAGTCAGCTCTAACATCATCAGTGGATCACAGATGATCAAAATGTGACAATCGCGAGAGATCTTGTGTTGTTTCCTGTTTGTAAAGAATGCCTGTGGTGTTTTTGTGGTGTTAGGCTCCAGCTCCACACAGCTCAGCCATGGATGAAATAGAGAGGTGGTTGTCTGCTGAGATGGTAAAGAGAGTTTCAGTCCTGCTTTAACACACTTCACACTCAGATCGGTTCATGTGAGCGTAACGCTGAGCAGCAGCGCCATCTGCTGGAGTTACAATCATGGCATACTACCACACTCTACTCACTGTTCCTGCAGTATTCAGCTTGTGTGCTGTGCAGTGTGCAGTGTGTGTCTGTATGCAGAGAATACAGCAGCGCTCACTGCACTGAATACTGCGTGCTGTAATGCAGAGCACATTCAGTGACATCTGCTACGATTTATCTCTCCTGATTCATTATCTGCCATAACAAATACAAAAAAAGCTAAATAATCATATTTATGATGATAAATGGACGCCATTCACGTGCAACATATTGAAATGATGATGGCATATTCACATACCGCTGGTTTAATGTTTATCATGGATGATGATGTTTTTCAGCCTGATGTTGATGACAGTGAGGGTGTGACCAGTGAAGGTGAGCGTCTGCTGATGTTTACTACTCATGATATCTGATTCATACACACACACACACACACACACATACTCACTCATACACACACACACACACTCTCTCTCGGTTGTCCATCGAATCCGATGGCGACGTCCGAGATCCGCATCACATGCTCACGCTCATCGAGTCCAAACAGTGAGGAAGACTCCCACAGTACTGCCTCATCTTCATCTTTAGCTTTCTTTCTAACACTGAATTTGGCCCTGGATGTGTGTGAAATATTTCATATGCCTTTTCAGTCCACCATTCATTCTGCATGGCCCGTATTTCCCTTTGCACTTTCCCCCGGATTGCCTGCAAATGCTGTCTGGTCTTGGAGGATGAAGGGTTTTCTAAAGTTGCCCGGTGTGCTATGTGCATATCCTTAAGCAAGCAACACACACACACACACCCATACTCACTCATACACACACACACATACTCACTCACACACTCACTCACACACACACACACTCTCTCACTCACACACACACACTCTCACACACACTCTCACATACACACACTCACTGTAATTCATTCGTCTGTTTTCTGCCCTCTTTATTCTGGCTGCCAGAGTTTGATCAGTTTTTAGCAGGAAGAGCTCAAGCTGCGGATCATCTTCCCTCGATGAAGAGCAGCTCGTCTGGCGGCGTCAGTCCCTCGAGCCCTCGACAGGCAGCACAGGAGCAGAACCACGAGCAGATCTTCAAGCTCTGAGATCCGCATCACATGCTCACGCTCATCGAGTCCAAACAGTGAGGAAGACTCCCACAGTAATGCCTCATCTTCATCTTTAGCTTTCTTTCTAACACTGAATTTGGCCCTGGATGTGTGTGAAACTTTGACCACTCATAAAAAACAACCTGTATGCTGTTTGTTGCCTGTGTAAGTTAATTTGTATTAATGTGTGTTTTCACGGAGTATAAAAAGCATTAATTTATGTTGTAAATTAACCACAAAGATAAGGACTCTTATACCTCTGACTGAATGTCGACATCATATTAAATACACTATAATGTTCACGGTTGTGTCCGATTGTGTCCTTTACTGTTGTTAATGTTGTGTAGCAGTATTTCATATGTGATTATCTCACAAATCATAAAGCAGCCAAACTACATAATGCGGTTTGTTTGTATTTCTTCTCTGAAATATTAAAATTCTGCCATCATTTACTCAAACTCATGTCAGGATTGAGTATGTGATGAAGAATCAGATTTAAGACCCGTTCACACCAAGAACAATAACTATAACGTTCTGTATATTATTAACAATCTGCAGTTTTGTCATCTGTCGCTTTAAATGCTTACGCTCTATAAAGTCAGATGAATTCTGATTGGCTGCCAAAGTTTTTATTGCTCTTCAGCTGGAAAACTAAATGTTTTAAAGTGATTCCGGCGATGTTGTCCCTCTGTGTTCTTATCATCAGTTATGGTGTGCACTCTGCTATTAGAATGATTATTATTAAAATCTTATTGTTATCATCCTTGGTGTGAATGGAGCTTTATGCTATTACATTAAAAGTTAACAGTACTGGAAATTATTCTTGTTTAGCGAGGTCTTACAATATGGCTATGAAAAATAATTCAGGCAAGGAAAATTAGTGGATAAATTAATAAATTCCTACACTAATATTCAGTAATCAAGAGAAACGATATTAGTCTAAACTAATGACTTAATTATTCTTGTTTAGCGAGGTCTTACAATATGGCTATGAAAAATAATTCAGGCAAGGAAAATTAGTGGATAAATTCATAAATTCCTACACTAATATTCAGTAATCAAGAGAAACGATATTAGTCTAAACTAATGACTCGGAACCATGACTTTCATCTGAGATGAAACACACCAAGAAATAATACAACATTCAGTTACAATGCCTGCTGAAACAGATTTTATTACAAAAATATAGTATTAATCATACAAAGGCATATATACACATGGTTACAAAATGATTCTGACTAAGGAAATTTCAACATTTGAATAATTCTGAAAACATGCAATCACATTTATTATTGACATGATTAAATAACATATTGTCTACAAAATGTGAGTCGTTTTTCAAAGTTTTGAATAATGTGTGACATATTAAACCGGTTTAAATGTGTTTAAAAAGCGTAGACCACCCCGACGGCCAGAACCACAAACACACCGAGCAGCGTCCGCAGGAACCGCGGCACCAGAGACGAGGAGCTCTGCAGCGCTTCACACACTTTATCATCTGAGGAGAGACATCACAAACACTTAGAACACTGTGGACCTCAGCTGTGTGTGTGTGTGTGTGAGAGTGTGAGTGAGTGAGAGAGAGAGTGTGTGTGTTTGAGTGAGTGAGAGAGAGAGTGTGTGTGTTTGAGTGTGTGTATGTGAGGGAGTGTGTGAGGGAGTGTGTGTGAGTGCGTGTTTGTGAGTGTGTGCGCGTGTGTGTGTGAGTGTGCGAGGGAGAGAGAGAGAGAGTGTGTGTGTGTGAGAGAGTGTGTGCGTGTGCGAAGGAGAGAGAGAGTGAGTGTGTGTGTGTGAGAGAGAGAAAGAGAGAGTGTGTGTGTGTGAGAGAGAGAAAGAGAGAGTGTGTGTGTGTGAGAGAGAGAAAGAGAGAGTGTGTGTGTGTGAGAGAGAGAAAGAGAGAGTGTGTGTGTGTGAGAGAGAGAAAGAGAGAGTGTGTGTGTGTGAGAGAGAGAAAGAGAGAGTGTGTGTGTGTGAGAGAGAGAAAGAGAGAGTGTGTGTGTGTGAGAGAGAGAAAGAGAGAGTGTGTGTGTGTGAGAGAGAGAAAGAGAGAGTGTGTGTGTGTGAGAGAGTGTGTGCGTGTGCGAAGGAGAGAGAGAGTCTGCAAGAGTGTGAGTGGAGTGTGTGTGTGTGTGTGAGGGAGAGAGAGAGAGAGAGAGAGTGTGTGTATGTGTGTGTGTGAGGGAGAGAGAGTGAGAGTGAGTGTGTGTGTGTGTGTTTTACCTGCTGCTGTTGTGCTCTGCTTGTGTTGTGTGTGTCTCTGCCTCATTTCATTCTCGGTGTCTGAGACGCAGCTCAGTGAGTCCTGCAGCTCATTAAACACCTGAACACAACACAAACCGATCAGCAGCGCTCTTCAGTCACTCATTAATGAGCGTAACGAGCCGTAGCTCTCTCACCTGGATGTTGAGCTCAAAGGCAGTGACAGCCTCCTGCAGCACGCCGCTCCGCTGCTCCTCTGTCAGCTCGATGCTGTTCATGCGGCTCCTGTACAGCTGCTTGAAGAGGTTTGGGCTGCTGACGGCCGGAAACGAGAAGAAGGACAAGCCCTCTCCGCTCTTCAGCCCGAGAGACTTCTGCGTGATGCGGCCCAGCACCTGCCCCCCCGACAGGTCGCCCAGATAGCGTGTGTACGCATGAGCCACCAGATATTCAGGGTGATCTCGGCCCACCTGAGACACGACAGAGCAAATTCACGCTACTCTCACACAACAGAGCGTATGAATGACCTACAACATCCTAACAGTGTCTCAGAGTCATGCTCCTCTGATATCAGTATCAGCCATTAAAGGAATAGTTCACACAAAATAAGAGAATTAGCTGAAAATGTGCTCACCCTGTTCATCTGAGATCAGGATGAGTTTGTTTCTTCATCAGGTTTGGAGAAATGTAGCATTGCATCAGTGTCTCAGCAATGGATGCTCTGCAGTGAATGGGTGCCGTCAGAATGAGAGTCCAAACAGCTGATAAAAACATCACAATAATCCACAAGTAATCCACAGCACTCCAGTCCATCAGTTAACATCTGGAGAAGACAAAAGATGAAACTAATCCAGCATTAAGATGTTTTTAACTAAAATACATAAGAGTCCATAATCCATAATAACTCTTCCTGCAATGAAAAAGTGTTCTGGTCTGAATCAGGAGAGAAATCTGCACAGATCAAGCAGCGTTTAAACAGCTCTAAACAAATATGAGACACAACAAGAGATGCACTTTTTCACTGCAGGAAGTGTTATTATGGATTATGGACTCAATGTATTTTAGTTAAAAATGTCTTAATGCTGGATTAGTTTCATCTTTTGTCTTCTCCAGATGTTAACTGATGGACTGGAGTGCTGTGGATTACTTGTGGATTATTGTGATGTTTTTATCAGCTGTTTGGACTCTCATTCTGACGGCACCCATTCACTGCAGAGCATCCATTGCTGAGACACTGATGCAATGCTACATTTCTACAAACCTGATGAAGAAACAAACTCATCCTGATCTCAGATGAACTGAGGGTGAGCACATTTAAGCAAATTATCTTATTTTGGGTGAACTATCCCTTTAAGAAAGCCAATGAACATGAACACTGATCATTGATCGTCTGATGGCATGTTGAAACTAACAATCATGATTCTCGGCCAATGCTAATAATCTCTAAATTGGCCAGATATCGATGGATTAATATTTGTTGTAGAATAGACTGGTTGTAGATGTTCACCTCTCTCAGTCTCTGTGCGTATCTCAGCGCCGCGGCCGATATCATCATCTTCTCCCTCCAGCTCCGGCCGTAGAAATACTCCAGGTCCTTCCCGATGGACTCCAGTCGGGACAGTTCCTGTGGGAAGTAAATGGGTGCCACGGCATCATGGGAGGCGTTTGTGTCCAGCGCCTCCTCCAGCGCCTCGTATATCTTATACAGCGAACACAAGAGCAGCTGAAACACAGAACAGAAGAAGCCAGGTGAGATTCCACAGGGAATCAATATGAAGGTTAAATATGACCTAAAACTCTATCGGCGGAGCTGGAAATGTGTGTTGTGATTGGTCAGTCCAGTGGTGAGGTTATCAGTTATAAACTAAGGTTAATTCAATGTAAAAAAAAAAATAAATAAACTTTAAGTATTATCAAATATATTGACGTCTCATTGACTGCTGTGTTTGAGTTACCTGATACTGCTGCAGGGACACGCGTCCTCTCTGGTAGCTCAGCATCAGCTCAGTGTTTTCCGCTCGGACGTGACTGTCTTTAGTCGCAGCTTTGATCTGCTCTGATAGTTCACTGCCAGAAAACACAGATTCACATAAACACACATCCACTCAACATGAAACACAGAATCAGAATCTGCAGTGATGCAGCTGGAGGAGACGTCAGTAACCACAGACAGACCTGTCCATGATCGCTGTCTGCATCTGGTTCTTCTCAATGGTCTCCATCTCTCAGGAACACAGATGAATGCTGATGTGAATATGACGGCAGGCGCTGATGGATCTCCTGGATGGATGTGAGGGTGATCTGAGCTCACACTGCCGCTCTTGGCTCTTTTATACTCGCTCCTCGTGCCTGGGAGAGAGAGAAACAGGAAGTCAGCAGAACTCAAACAAAGACAGAGGGAGGGAGCAGCAGCTAAACATGACGAGACACATTCATCAGGAGGACAGATGGGGAAAACATGACTGAGGGAGAACCGAGTCACATGATGACCTGATGTTCACATGAAAGAGGGATATATATGTGATTTTCTGTTTCTAGTGATCAGTTATAGCATGAAAAGAGGTGGACATTTCTGTGATGAATGTATGATCACGATCAGGTGTAATTATCAGAGTCAGAGTGAACGAGCGTTATAACAGATCAAGTGTCTCCATCTGTCATGAAGATCATCTTGCATAAGAGCTGCAGGCTATAAACCGCCAGATTTATGGCTGTGATTCGCTGAGAAGCGATAAAGAGCGTGAGTCAGCCGAGTGTCGAAACCGTGAGTCAGCGGAAACACGCTAAACATGAGAGAGCAGAACGCGAAGGAAACATGACTCGACACAATCCAGAACTCTAGAACTCTGAACCCTGCTCCAGTACAGTCTCGGTGTGTAAACACACACACACACACACTCTCTCTCTCACACACACACACATTTAAATGTGAGGTTCCTGCAGAGCACAGGGTATCAGAGGTTATTGTGTGTGTGTGTGTGTGTGTGTGTGTGTGTGTGTGTGTGTGTGTGTGTGTGTGTGTGTGTGTGTGT